GTGATTGGGGCCTGTGCCAGCAGCAGTGTGAGCAGTGGCTGCTGCCCTGATCACCCCTCAGGAGCAGGGAGAGGTGAAGCCCTCAGGGGCTATCGGGGCCAGCAGCCGCCGCTTACACCTGCTGATGGTGCCGAGTGATCAGGACTGGCGCTGGGCGCTGGCAGCAGGTGCGAGTGGGGCCATCACCAGCAGCGGGTGTGAGAGATGGGACCGCCATGCGTGGGAGCAAAGAATTTTCAGTACCCACCAGAGGCTTGCCCCGATGACAGCGACTGGTGTCCTGCCTTGGTCTGGTGCCCCCGCTCATCTGCTCCACCATTCTGCCGTGGCCAACACCTGCCATGTTTCATGCGGGCCTCCTGGTGGTCAGCGCATGTCATAGCAACTGGTTGTTTCAATGTTTGGTCTACTTGCATATTAGCCTTTTATCATATAGGATGGTGTTATTGGTTTTGTTTTGTTTTTCACTTATTAGAAATCTATTAACATCATTTTCACTAGGATGTTAATTACTCCCTTTTCTTTAAGATGAATTTAAGATGTAGAATTAGGATTTTTAAAAATTTAGGTGAGTTTCTAATCCTTCTCTTTTATACATTAGGGAGGAAAGCCATGATGGACTATTTTATTTTTATTTTTTTATTAAAGAAGGCAATGACTTTGGCAAATGTACCTAGTTTAAAAGAATATAAAATACTAGTAAATGCAAATACATGTAATAGGAGGTTTCCAATTCAGAGTCAGAACTTTCCACTCGCAGAACTGGGGAAAAAGCACAATACCAATGGAAACTCTTCAGCACGCCATTAGGATCTGGCTTGGAGGTGGTGACGAGTGTAGTGTGGCTGTTGGTATCAGGCAGCCTTGTGTAAGAAGGCAGTAGTGAACACTTCCAGTTTACATCTACTGTTTGTTTTAGTAAATAAACATGGTCAAGAGCTTGGGTTTAAAAGCCAGTAAGTCTATAAGATTTGATTAAATGTGCAGTGTTGGCCCGACCAACCCAGGTACATGCCCTTGACTGGGATTCAAACCCGAGACTCTTTGGTGCCCAATGCTCTATACACTGAGCCACACCAGCTAGGGCTTTCTTGGGCCTTTTATAAAACAACAAAACCAAACCAACCACAGTCCCAAACTAAAGGAGATTCACAGCTAGTATGTTAGGATTCTCCAAAGAAACAGGAGATTGCATACAGGGTGGGGCAAAAGTAGGATTACAGTTGTGAGTACACAAAATAGAGTTTATTCTCATGTTATTATTTATTAAGTATTATTAAGTATTATTCTCATATTATTATTTAAGTATTATTTATTAAGTGGAGAGAGTGACAGTGAGAGAGACAGGCTATAAGGAATTGGCTCACGTGATTATGGAGGAGTTGAGTCTAAACTCTGCAGAGCTGTTGTCCCCGTCTGAAGGCCATCGGCCAGGGAGCTGTCAGTTGGGGGCAGAATTCTTTCTCACTTGATGGGGGGGTGGGGGAGGGGGCTCAACCTTTGTTTTATTTGGGCCTCAACTGACAGAATGAGGCCCTCCCACAGTATGGAGGGTAATCTGCTTCACCACAGTCCACTAGTTTAAATATTAACCTCATCCAAAAATACCCTCACAGAAACACCCAGGATAGTATTTGATCAACTAACTATCTGGGCACCCTGTGGCCCAGTCAAGCTGACACATAAAATTAACCATCACAGATAGTAAGAAAAATACTTCTGGGGCAACATGCTTGAGAGACCGCCAGATACACATTTTATTTTTAAATTTTTTCAAATACACAGTTTATAAGTATTTTTGTATTTACATATTTCTTGCTTCTAAGTAAACCTATTTTAAGCATACAATTATACTTCATTTGCTCTGCTCTTCAAGTTTCTAGAACAGGGTTCCTCAACTTCAGCAATGTTGACATTTGGTCCAGATGTCTTTGTGGTGAGGGGCTGCCCTGTAGGTTGTAGAATGTGTAGTAGTATCCCTGGCCTCGACCCACTAACTGCCAGTCACTACCCCCCACTACATACCAATAGTATAGTAGCCCCCTAGTTGTGACAACAAAATGTCTCCAGACATGGGGAAAATTCTCCTCTGGTTGAGAACCACTGCTCTAACTGATGTGGGCGTGATGATCTGTTGGCAGCTCTTGTGTTGCAGTACCATTAGAAACTTCAGAGCATACCTTCTTAAGTCCTTGTTTTCATTTTTCTTTAACCTGTATATATACTAATATAGCCTCCTAGGCATCGGCAGTCATTTTATATATTTGGAGTTGCCTCATATTTCACTGCCTTTTCCTATTAACTGCTGGGATGCAAATGTACTAAATGTAAGTGTAGAATCAGGAAGTGGTTGTGTGTGGAGTACACTCACACCTACACATAACTTACATGCAAACATAATAATCATGATGGTCTCATTTTTTGGTTTTGGTAAATCAGTAGTGGCTTAGTGGATTGGTCTGAATTTTGACATGCATAGACTGGATGTCTCAATTTGCAACTCTGTCCTCTTATACAATCACTAGAGGCCTGGTGCATGAAATTCATGCATAGGTAGGGTCCCTAGGCCTGGCCGGTGATCAGGGCCGATCAGGGCCTTCCGGCTACCAGCTGGGGCCTTCCTTCATTCTGCGCCAGCCCCTGGTGGTAAGCGCACGACAAAGCGAGCGATCGAACTCCTGGTCTCCTGGTCTCACTCCAGAGAAGACAATTTGTATATTAGGCCTTTATATATATAGACTAGAGGCCCTGTGCACAAAATTCATGCGGGGGGGGGGGGTGTCCCTCAGCCCAGCCTGCACCCTCTCCAATCTCGGATATCCCTCACAATCCGAGACTGCTGGCTCCTAACTGCTCTCCTGCCTGCCAGCCTGATCACCCCCTAACTGCTCCCCTGCCGGCCTGATTGATGCCTAACCGCTTCTCTGCCAGCCTGAAGCCCCCAACTGCCCTCCCTTGCCAGCCTGATCATCCAACTGCCCTCCCCTGCCAGTCTGATCGCCCCCAACTGCCCTCCCCTGCCAGCCCGATCACCCCCAACTGCCCTCCCCTGCTGGCCTGTTTGCCCCCAATTGCCCTCCCCTGCTGGCCATCTTGTGGTGGCCATCTTGTGACGATGTGGGGGTGGCCATCTTGTGATGATGCGGGGGCGAGATACCACCTAGGCTTTTATTAGTATAGATGCTTGATGTTTTCCTCCAGATTAATCTAAGACCTGTTAATTGACAGGAAGTTAAATGCCTGTACAGGGAAGGAGTGTGATCTATTCTTTTTTCTTACTATTGGCCAAGAACAACTCACATGTTAAGATTAAAGGGATGAAAAGAATAGGGTTAAGTTTAGCCATAGTTGAATAGATTTTCACATTGTGGCAGCTTTTCTTCTTTTCCCTCTAACTGGTGGGCCTGAGTCAGGGTCCTGCAGAATGGAACTTGCTTTTCTTCCCTTTGAGTCCCTGCGTGTGGCTTCCAGACAACAGAGGTGCACTAGCAGCAAGGCTCTGGTATGCAGAAGTGTGTTTTTAAAGGAGGTTGATTAATGCTAGCCTGCCAGGCTCATTAAAATGTCACAGTATTCAGATGTGGAGTTGTATGTACCGGTAGTGGCATCTGTTTGTTTTTATCTCTTATTTGATTTATATGCCTGAATCCCTAACATGGTGATCACGGTGTCCTGCCATGGGAGATCTGGGGACTTCTGGTTCTGCTACTTAAAACTACTGTGTGTCCTTCCTGAGATTCACTTTAAACATCTAAAAAATGTGAAGAATAATAATTTTTCTTCAGTACTATGTCAATGATTAAAGCCCTACATATTGCTTAACATAGATGGGTAATCAATAAAAATTATTTAAATGAGTAAGAAAGTAAGTGAATTTCAGCAACAAAATAAAACCAATAGTATTGGGTTATAATTCATAGAACAAAATAAACACTCATGAGTCCATACTGTTGTAAAAAGTTGAACAAACAAGTAAATGGGGAAAAGAGACAGCTCTTTCTTACAGAAGAATTCCAATTAATAAATGTTGAAATAACAAGGGAAACAGAAAAATAACTACAGAATAATGGTTTCAGGCAAGAACTACTAATGTTTCTAAATTAGTAGGCAAAGTATGAGGGATAAAAGGATATTTGTGTAGCCTCAAAGTATTTCCTCTAAGATAAATATTAATTACAAAGGAAAAAATAGTAACTTTACAGGGGGGAAATTCAGCAGGCACTACTGTAACCAGGTGAACAAAGTTGGCATTACCAGTATTAAGATGAATCAACATTATATACCCCCTGCTATGATGTATAAAAAATAGCACATCACTCCTGTGGTATTCTGTCCAAAAAATGCAGAAAACACCTGACAAACTGATATTGAAGTACATTCTATAAAACACCTGGTCATTACTCTCCAAAAGTGTCTAGGTCATGACACAAAGGGAGGGCTGAGGAACAGTCCTGGATCTGAGCAAACTAAGGAGACATGACAACTACATGCAATGTGGGACCCTCGACTGGATCCTAGGATAGAAATCAGGCATCAGCCCTGGCTTGTTTGGCTCAATGGATAGAGCATCTTCCTGTGGACTGAAGGGTTCCAGGTTCGATTCTGGTCAAGGGCACATTCCTGGGTCGAGGGCTTGATTCCCAGTCGGGGATGTGCAGGAGGCAGCTGATCAATGATTTTCTCTCATCATTGATGTTTCTATCTCTCTCTCCCTCTCCCTTCCTCTCTGAAATAAAAAAATATATATTAAAAAAAGATATATTAAAAAAAGAAAGAAAACAGGCATCAGTGGAAAAACTGGTGAAATTGAATGAAGTCTGTAGTTTAGTTAACTGTACTGTACCAACATTGATTTCTTAGTTCTGATAACTATCGTGGTTATACATGATGTTAATATTGAGAGAAGCCAGAGGAAGGACATATGGGAATTCTCTGTGCTATTTTTGTAACTTTTCTGAAAGCCTGAATAACAAGTTAAAAAATAAATAAGACAGTTGTAGTTATATTGTTGTCTTTTGTATTTACAAAGTGCCACATACACTTGCAGCTCTTCCTACTACTACTACGGCCATGCTTCACACTGGGACCAGGCTTTGTAGTTTGCAAATCTGTTCCACATGTACCATCACATGGAATCCTCAACAATCCTGCCAAATATCATTCCCATTTTGCAGCTGATGAGACTGAGGCTCAGAGAGGGAAGCATTTGCCTAAGCTGGCCCAGCACAGTCACATCAGAGGCCATTCGGTGAGAGAAGAACAAGCTGGCAATATTTTATTATACAAGGGGTTGGCAAAGGACAGATTCATGTTGATCACACATTCCCAGGGGTCTACCTGGTGATGCGGCTAATGCAATAAAACAGCAGCTGATTTGTACTGAGTGTCTGCAGTGTGTCTGAGCCATTGAATAAGAGGCACTTAACCCTGGGATCTTCACTGGGACACAGATTAGAAGAGGCCCAGCTTCAAGGATTCCGACTTGCACAGACTGAGGACTCCCATTTCCAGAAGTTCAAAAACTTCCTTTTTTATCTAAATGAGAGAAAAGATTTAAAAAAAAAAGGTTAAGATTAAGAAAAGATGGTCTTGGTGAATAAAGTCAACCTTCTGGACCCTCTGGTATTTATGCAGCTGATATGGCCAGAGTCAGGGATGGCAGAAATCCTAGCCCATATTTTATTCAGAGCTGGAATAGTTGCACAAGTAAAGGAAGAGGTATTATATAAAACACCAGTTTCGTTCAAGCGTCCTTTTGCTTGCAGCCACTTAAAATAAAATCTCATACAAAGATATCTAAAGTGTGCCCAGATTAGACACAGTCCTAATATATAAAAAGCCAGGGGCCGTCACGACCGAAACAACCGGATGAACGACCAAACTGCAGGCTGTGTGGGACGACCAGGCTGGCGGGGGTGGGGGTGGGGGTAGTGAGGGATGACCAAATGACTGAACAAGCAGGCTGCGTGGAGCGACCAGGCTGGCCGGGGGGGGGGGGGGGGGGAGGTGGGGGGAGGAGGGAGGGCAGTTGGGGGCAACCAGGCTGGTGTGGGGAGCAGTTAGGGGTGATCAGGAAGGCAGGCAGGTGAGCAGTTAGGAGCCAGCAGTCTCAGATTGTGAGTCGGATATCCCCCGAGGGATCCTGGATTGGAGAGGGTGCAGGCTGGGCTGAGGAGATCCCCCCTTTCCCTCCTCCCCTCCCCGTGCATGAATTTCGTGCACCGGGCCTCTAGTATCTGTATAATAAAAGCCTAAGCAACCGTTACGGTGGAATGACCGGTTGCTATGATGTGCACTGACCACCAGGGGCAGATGTTTAACACAAGAGCTGCCCCCTGGTAGTCAGGGCGCTCCCAAAGGGGGAGCGCTGCTCAACCAGAAGCAGAGCTCACTGCTGGCGAGTGCAGTGGTGGTGGCGGGAGCCTCTCCCACTTTCGTGGCAGTGCTAAGGAGCAGCAAGGTAAATGGTAAGGAGCAGCGAGCAAGCACGTGGTAAGGAGCAAGGGGTCCCGGACTGCAAGAGGGATGTCCGCCTGCCAGCTTAGGCCTGCTCCCCAGGAGAGGGAACATGCCAGATTGAGGACCCCCCGCCCCTCAGTGCATGAATTTCGTGCACTGGGCCTCTAGTTCTATTATAGGATAACTGCTAATAATGACATCAACATAAAAAAAAAAACTATGAGGGACAAGGGTTTTTTTGTTTTGTTTTGTTACTGTTTCTCTGAATTATTGTAATTAAAAAACTAGTGGTAGATTACTCAGATTTAACATTAAATCTGAAATAATCAAATATGGCCTCATGTGCTGGACATTAAATTGGTTAAACCAGTTTATTTTATTTTTATTGATTTCAGAGAGGGAGAAAGAGAGAAACATTGATGAGAGAGAAATGTAGATCGGCTGCCTCCTACACACCCCACACTGGGAATCAAGCCCACAACCTGGGCATGTGCCCTGACTGGGAATTGAACCATGACCTCCTGGTTCATAGGTCGATGCTCAATCACTGAGCCACGCCGGCCCGGCAAAACCAGTTAAAAAAAACCCCCAAACTGTTCAGGGGACAGTGTGTGTGTGTGTGTGTGTGTGTGTGTGTGTGTGTGTGTGTGTAGGAAAGTGAGAAAATTGTCTCTTAACTTGAACTGATATCTGATATAATTCACTGATCATTTGTGATCAGGTTTGGTCATTCTGGGAATAGAGTTATATGTGGTGAATTAGTTCACTGGGCATGGTTGGAGGAGTAATTCCCGGCCTCTATACTAGTTACTGCCATGATTCATTCCTGATTGGTGACCGGCAGCACTGTTTACTACTGTACAAATCCTTTTATTTCCAACAGCTACATTGATCGGTTGCCTCCCATAAGCAGCCTGACCAAGGATCAAACCTGCAACCTGGGTAGTGTCTTGATCGGGAATTGAACCAGCGACCTTTTGGTGCTTGGGACATTACTCACCCAACTGAGCCATACTGGCCCGGGCAGGCATTTAGTTTTTAAAATATATTTTTACTAGAGGCCCAGTGCACAAAATTGGTGCACAGGAGGGGGGGGGTGTCCCTCAACCTGGCCTGCACCCTCTCCAATTTGGGACCCTATGGGGAATGTCCGACTGCCGGCTTAGGCCCGATCCCACAGGGCCTAAACCGGCAGTCGAACATCCCTCTCACAATCTGGGACCACTGGCTCCTAACCGCTCGCCTGCCTGCCTGATCGCCCCCACCTGCCCTCTCCAGCCGGCTGATCACCCCCAACTGCCCTCCCCTGCCAGCCTGATCGCCCCCTAACTGCTTGCTCCCCCACACCAGCCTGATCTCACCCCTAACTGCTTGCTCCCTTGTGTCGGCCTGATCTTGCCTCTAATTGCTTGCTCTCCTGCCAGCCTGAATGCCCCTAATCGCCTCTGTCTCGGCCCCCACCACTGTGGTTTTGTCTGGAAAGAAGTTGGACATCCGAAAGATGTCTGGTTAACCCGGTCTAATTAGCGTATTACCCTTTTATTAGTATAGACTGATTTCAGAGACGAAGGGAGAGGAAGAGAGAGATAGAAACATCAATGATGAGAATCATCGATCCGCTGCCTCCCGCAAGCCCCTTACTAGGGATCGAGCTTGCAACCCGGGCATGTGCCCTGACTGGGAATCGAACCATGATCTCCTGGTTCATAGGTTAATGCTCAACCACGGAGCCACTCAGGCTGGGAAAGGGTAGACATCCAATTTTAATCTACTGAGACATCAAAAAATCCCCCAAAATCAAACTAGCTCCAAATTAAGTAACTGGGTTTTAGGGGATGTAAATGAAAGGAGTTTTAGAGGGTAAAATAGGTAGGTTTAGGGAGTTTTAGAAATAAAGAGGGTCCATGCGGGAGGAAGGCTTGGAGCCCATAAGTGGGGGCTTGGAGCTGCTAAAGGCATATGTTCACAGAGAACAAAAGGTACCACAGGATAAGGGGAAAGGAAGACATCCATTCACAGAAGATAGGAAAGAGCCACACCGGATGGGAAGAAAGAGGAAAAAGAACTGTCACAGAGGATAGAGAAATGCTGACAAGTGGGAGAAAGAGGAAACAGATTTTCACAGGAGATAGAGAACTGCAGCCTTTACAAACCTTAGGAAAAAGGGGCTTAGGGGGCTACTCCCTTTGGGACCCCCTCCCTACGTGGGAGTCTCTACTTGTTTCCAATAAATTTCCACCTTTTCATATACCACCTTTTGTCTGTGGTTTCACTCTTCAAATGCACCTGGGCAAGAACCCGGAAAGAAATCACCCTTGCGTCCTGCTCAGAAAAAACCACTCAACTCATAAAGATGTGAGCAATGAGGCAAATTTGCACACCCGCCTCCAAGTGCACTTATAAGGGTGAAAAGCAAAGGTGATTGTGCCTCTAAAGCAAAGCACAGGGAAGTATGCCAAGTTCTCCAGATCTTCCTGTTTCTCAAAGGTACAGTATAGCTATGGTCCCTAGTGAGGCAGAAGCTCTCCGTCATTTAATGAGGAAACAAAGCTGATTCCTATAAAACACATGGGAGCAATAGGATTATGTGTAAGGGGTGAGATGGGTTCCATGATTATTCCTTTACAGTAACTGTCAAAGGCCAGGATGTGCTGGTCTTCATGTCAAAGACTCTATTACTGTGTTTGAACTCAAGTTCAGATAAAAGAAAAAAAAATTAAAGTCAACGGTACCTCGGGAATGTCCATCATCCTCCTCAACTTCTGATCTCTCCAATTCCAGTCAAAAACCAGAAACTTTAAGGGGTTCAAATTAAGGCCACCTGAAAGAGATAGGGAGAGGGTTGCCGAAGTCAAGACCTCATGACGTGAACAAATTAAAACTACTTTTTATTCTCTTGGTTGCTTTTTGCCTCATTTGCTGTCCTCTCCCCAGTAACTAATCTCTCACATTAAATGCTGCCCTTGCCTGATGGAAAACAAATGCGGTAGTCCGAGACTCCCCTCCAGTAATCTTATCACTGATTCTGAGAAGCAGAGAAGCTGTTCTTGCTAAGCTTGTCAAATGCTCAAGTGCTGGCAAAAAATCAATCCTAAGCCTCCAGGAAGCGCCAGAGGGTGAAGTTTCATTCCTGACAGGGATTTGATAAGATTCCTGCAGTTTGGAGTTGAGTCTACCTGAGGCCACATGACTGAGGAGGTGAGTGGGCAAAAGGATGAGGACAGGGCTGGGAGGTTCATTTGGGGCAGAAAAGGAAGCTAAGGTGAATGGGCCCTATTAAAGGCTGCTATCCCCTGAGGAGACTAGGAAAGAACTTAGGGCTATTCCCACTGTCTTCCTGTCTATCTAGGGCAGTGGTTCTCAACCTTCCTAATGCCGTGACCCTTTAATACAGTTTCTCATGTTGTGGTGACCCCTAACCATAAAATTATTTTCGTTGCTACTTCATAACTGTAATTTTGCTACTGTTATGAATTGTAATGTAAACATCTGATATGCAGGATGTATTTTCATTGTTACAAATTGAACATAATTAAAGCATAGTGATTAATCACAAAAACAATATGTAATTATATATGTGTTTTCCAATGGTCTCAGGCGACCTCTGTGAAAGGGTCGTTCGACCCCCAAAAGGGTAGAGACCCACAGGTTGAGAACCGCTGATCTAGAGACAATACTAGAATGTGGGGCTTCAGGGGACCTCAGGGATTGTCTGCTTCTTAGAGGTCTCAGAGTTGGGCATAGTTAGTTCTCACTCTCCATGTTCTCCCCACTGCCCCAAGCTGTTACATGTTTCACGTGGCAATGTAATTGAAGCCTTCTTTTACACAACTGCAGCATGTCCCTTCAACTCTCCTGTGATTATTTTGATATTTCCCCTCTCTGCCCAAAATAATTTAAAACAAATTTTTTTTTTTATTGATTTCAGAAAGGAAGGGAAAGGGAGAGAAAGAAACATCAATGATGACAGAGAATTACTGATCAACTGCCTCCTGCAGGCCCCCTACTGGGGATCAAACATGTGGCCTAACCGGAATGGAACCTAGATCTCCTGGTTCATAGGTCCAAGCTCAACCACTGAGCTACCTCAGCCAGGCCCAAAAGAATTTTTTAATGTTTCTTATAATTACAATGCCTCTTATTTAAAATTTTCTGAAAAATTAAAAATGATAAATAAAGAATGACAGTGGGTTGGTAGTCTTCACTCAAAAATAATTCACTGCTGGTAATAGAGCAAACAGGTACAACCTCTCTAAAAAAGTACTGGGCATTATAAAAAAGGAGCTTTAAAATGCTTTCTATTGATAAAAAAATTCTCCATCTACACATATCCAATAAAAACATCAGAAATTTAAACACAGTTACTTACAAAATGATCACTGCAGTATTATTTATAATAGCAAAAAATAAGAAACAACCCAAATATCCTACCATGATAGAATTGTTAAAAAAAAAAAAATCTAACTTGGGTTTAATATAAAAAATACAGGAAGAACTCATATAACTTGATAGAAAAAAAAAATCTAATTTAAAAATGGACTTTAAGCAATAAAACAATTAAAAAAAAATAAAATAAAAATGGGCAGAAGAACCGAGTATGCATTTTTCCAAATAAGACATCCAAATGGCCAACAAGTACATGAAAAGATGTTCAACATCACTAATTATCAGGTAAATACAAATCAAAACCACAGTGAAAGGCTTGGCTGGCATGGCTCAGTGGTTGAGCGTCCACCTATGAACCAGAAGGTCATGGTTTGATTCTCAGTCATGGCACATGCCTGGGTTGCGGGCTTGATCCTCAGTGTGGGGTGTGCAGGAAGCAGCCTATCAATTATTCTCTCTCATCACTGATGTTTCTATCTTTCTCCCTTTCCCTTCCTATCTCCAAAATCAATAAAACAATATAAAAAACACAATGATATATCACCTCACACCTGTTATCAAAAAGACAAAGATAACAAGTGTTGGCAAGGATGTGGAGAAAAGAGAAGCCTTGCACACTGTTAGTGGAAATGTAAAGTGGTGCAACCACTATGGAAAATGGTATGGAAGTTCCTCAAAACATTAAAAAGATAACTACCATGTGATCCAGCGATCACATATCTGGGTATATAGCCAAAGAAAATGAAATCACTATCTTAAAACGTGTCCCACAACTCTGTAGAAATCTAATTTCAATGGTCTGTACAGCTTTGTTTTTCCCCTCTCTCTTCTAAATACAAAGAAGAGTGGGGCCTGGTGACCACAAAAACCCATCTGTATTCCAGGAAAGGGAGAGGTGAATTTCTGGCTGGGGGCTGAGGGAGAGGCGGCGTCTGTCCCTGGCCTCTCCCGCTGCCCAGCCAAGCTCTCCCAACTCTGCGTTTCACAGAAGGCCTATGAGCACCTCTCACCTGTTCCTTCATTTTCATCGCCCCATCACATTCACAAGACAAAACTCCAAACTCCTCAGATTACTGTTCAAGGCCCTCCCTCACAATCTGACTTTCTTCCCAGTTGAATCACAAGATAGTACAGACCATGAAGTCCCCGAGTAAGAAACGTGGTCTCTTCAATAAAAACAACTAGCATTTTTTGAGTTCTTACAGTAATACACTCACTGTGCTGAGCTCTTTATTGGCATTCAATTTTCATAATAATCCTTTGAGATAGGTACTGTTTCTGTTTCTGTCATTCTGATAGAGAAACAGGTTTAGAGAAGATAACTTGCAAGGTCACAGAGCTGGTATGGTAAGTTGTTGGATCTGGGACCTGAGTCTGGAGTCTGAGTCCATAACGGGTTCTTAGGCTCAACACAGTATTGTTCACTTATCATCTCCTCCAGGGATACCACATGCCCTCCTGATTCAGCTCTTCTCCCATTCCTGCACGTTCCTGAATGTTTTCCTCACATCTCCATAGATCCTACTTTAATTCTCCCCATACTTTAAAGATGAGTTAAAAACTCTACAAAGCTTTCCCTGCAGACTCAGCTACCACATCAATCTCTCCCTCATTTCAACTTCTCTAGATTCAGAAGTGCTCACTTGGCCTTTGGGCTTTATTGTCTTGTATGGTCAACCTAATTCTATGTGCACTTATCTCTTCAATGGAATCGGGAGCTCCCTTTTGGGGAAGGCTCAGGAACCAGGAAAGCCTGGACTGAGTGACTCTGGGAGGGCCACTTAACCCAGTGTGCTTTGGTTTTCTCTCTGAGGAAATCAGAACCCTAGCCTGCAAGGGTGAGGTGAGTACTACATGAGATAGATGTAAGTGTCTAGCACAGTGGTTCTCAACCTGTGGGTCGCGACCCCTTTGGCAGTCGAACGACCCTTTCACAGGGGTTGCCTAAGACCATCCTGCATACCAGATATTTACGATTCATAACAGTAGCAACATTACAGTTATGAAGTAGCAACGAAAATAATTTTATGGTTGGGTCACAACATGAGGAACTGTATTTAAAGGGCCAGAAGGTTGAGAGCCACTGGTCTAGCATATTGCTAAGTACACATAGGAACTCAAAAAAAATTTTTCCCTTCCTTATCTGGGGCCTCCAGTTTGTTATCTGTAATTGCACAGAGCTCTGTATATAGTGGGTTTATTTAACCTGGGTGGCTTTCATCTGAAGAGAAACACTAGTATTTTTAGTTTTCATTTGCTTTCTGGCAAATGACTATCTGTATACCCAGTTACTATACTAATGAACACATTATGTTTAGAAATATGAAAAATCCAGGAATAGCTCCTGTCAGTTATGAAACAATGTGTATTACTATATTGAAGAAGTAATTTGGTAAGATTTGATAAGATATCTTTAATCTGTCTGGCAGGCAGAACAGGTAATAAGATCATTAGCAGGTTAGCAGGTGGATGGCCTCTGGAAAACTTTCTGGGTAAAGCACTACAAAAGAAACAATTTAGAATATCAAGATTTCATCCACAGAAACTGCATTTAAAAAATATTTTTTAATTGATTTCAGAGAGGCAGGGAGAGGGAGAGAGATAGAAACATCAGTGATGTAAGAGAATCATTGATTGGCTATCTCCTACATGCCCGCCCCCCCTGGGGATCGAGCCTGCAACTCAGGCATGGGCCCTGACTGGGAATCAAATCGTGACTTCCTGGTTCATAGGTCAACGCCCAACCACTGAGCCACGCCATCTAGGTGAAACTGCATTTTTGTTTCAACATGTTTTCAAGTGGAATGGGAGTTGTGGGGAACCAAGACACAATTAAGTGGGAGGGAAATACTCAACATATCCAGCTCTACAAATTCCAGAGGGTGCAAACAGATGGAATCAATTGTGGATCCACGAACCTGTTTAAAGCAATTGAAATCTGAATGTATTTAGGTGGGCACATGCCCTTCAATTTCACAGTTCTCATCCTTCCCTACTCCATCATACCTGCTGGCTGACTTTACAGACTCACAGCTGAATTTCCAACTCCTGAATTAACACAGAGATCTGGTTTCACTGCATCACACATGTGGTTCCCAAAACTCACATGGGGGTACGGCCAACTCCCAGCTCTGAAGACTATCACTGGCTCTTTTCATACCTTGTTTAACGAGTTCTTTAATCCTCCCTGGAGTTCCTACACCCAGGTGCACGGCACGCTTCTCCAGCAACTTTACCTGTTCCTGGACCTATTCCAAGATGGAAGAGAATAAAGAGAAGTGTGATATTGAGGCAGACTACCAAAATATATTTCTCATACAAATGTGGCCTTCGTCCACAGTTTCTGACTCATAACTCCCCAAGCCTTGCAAGTTCCTAAGTGTTGAGAGTGATAAAGCTGTCTTTTGTTACTTGAATGAGGAAATTTTTGGAAGAACCTGAGGATGGAGACCGGTTCCAGGAGAACCCACTATGTAATTAACTTTCACTCCCACTCCGAACCTCCAGGGAGGGGTGGGGGGCTGAGGTTGAATCAATCGCCAATGGCTGATGATTTAATCAATCATGCCTAAGTACTGACGCCTCCTTAAAACACCTGAGAGGAAGGGTTTGAAGAACTTTTGGGTTGGTGAACACATGGAGATTTGGGGAGAGTGTGTGCCTGGAGAGGGTATGGAAGCTCCACAACCTTTCCCAACCCTGCCCTAGGCATCTTTTCCATCTGGCTGTTCCTGAGTTACATGTTTTTATAATGAATCAGTGATCTAGTAAGTAAAATGTCTCGTCAGCTGCTCTTGCAAATTAATGGAATTTGAGGAGGTGTTTGCGGGAACCTGTTGGTCAGAAGAATAGGTAACATCCTGGACTTTCAACTGGTGTCTGAAGTTGGGGGTATGAGGTGTGCATGCAGTCTTGTAGGACTGAGCCTTAACCTATGGAACCTGATGTGTTTCCAGGTAGACAATGTCAGAATTGAGTTGCATTGTAGGACATGAAGCTGGTGTCCAGAGCATTTCTTGGATACGTGAGGAAGCACCCCCTCCACATGTTGGAAATTGGGTCCAGAAACTCTTTTCAAAGAGTCATTAGAAACTGCAATCAATCATGGGCCAATTTAGAGCAATTTGTTTAAAAGTTAAGAAAGTTAGAAAGCAAGTGAGGCTACCCTTGTTTAGGGCAAAGAAGGTTAACATCAAGATAGAAGAAAACTGGTAAATCTTCACAGAGTCCAGGGTCAAGCCTCAGCTTCTGTAGAGGAACCTCGGAGCAGGGACAAGTGTGACTGCTGTGGGGAGAGGTGGGTGTGCAGGGGTAGGGAATGCAAAGAAAATCAGAATGGTCATTAAGTGTGTTATAGAAGGAGGCACCAAAGAAAACCCTTGCTAAGGAGTTACACAGAGGTTGAAGGGAAAAGCTGAGGTCTAGAAGTGACCCTTAAGGATCACTAACATCTTCCAAGAACCACAGGCTCTTTGCTTACCTTTATGTGTTTTGCAAATAATTTCATAACTTTGCTGTCTCCTCTGAATGCTGTCATTGACCTAATGAGAAGGAATAGATTAATGCACAAGAAAAGTCACTCCTTCTGAGCCTGTTGGCTAATTCAGTATTATGTCTTTCTTTATTCAAAGAATATGTGTGTTTATTTATATGTATATATGTTCACCTGTATGTGTATCTATACACACAAAAATAAGTTCTGAGATTTTCAGGCTAGTCATCTCTGAAATGAAAACGGGTGGCCTTTTATTCAGGCTTCTCATTCTCACACATAGGGTTAGCTTTACTTAGGTCTCCTTGGTTACTGAAACATGGATCTGCACTTTACTTGCAATACAGAATTTCTGTATTTCAGGTTCCTAGCAGAGAATTGGTCTTCAAACTCTGTAGTATAGTTCTCAGACAAAATGTGGTTGTGAGAAATCTCTTACAGCGCTGGGGTCGGCCTGTGCTCCGGGGCAGTGGGGGAAGCTGGGATGAGCTGACAGGGTGGAGCAAAAGGGCTTGTGTCCTTCAAGAGCAGCCTCCTCTTTTATTTATGTTGCAGAGTGAGCTTTTCCATAAAATGTTGTATGTAGAAATGCTTCAGATATAAATGGGTATAAAATAGCAATGCCTTTTAGTCGATGTTTGGAGCAAGATCTAACATGGAAAAACTGCTTGAGAATATTACTTTCCTTTATACCTCATTATTATGTTTGTGGAAATACTATTGGTCAGCAGGAATCTATGAGTTTGCAAATAGTGAATCATGTTATATAAGTGCTGTTGCATTTGATTTCTAAAAATATATTTTTATTGATTTCTGAGAGGAAGGGAGAAGGAGAGAGAGAGAGAGAGAGAGAGAGAGAGAGAGAGAGAGAGAGAGAGAGAAGGAAACATTGATGAGAGAGAAGCATTGATTGGCTGCCTCCTGCACATATCCCGGGCATGGCCCTGACTGGGAATTGAACCACAGGTACATAGGTTGATGCTCAACACTGAGCCATGCAGCCCAGGCTGCACTTGATTTTTCACTTATATGTAAGCTTTCTCCAAGGCAAGGTTAACTAGGAAGAAAATTTAGGGAACATATTTGACATAACTCATGGTTCTCAAGGGAGCAAATATTCTTACAAAAGTTAGAATTATTCACAATTAGTCTTTATGAATAGGGCTCATTGTGCCCGCTCAAAATTCACCTTTTGCAAATCCCCTAACCTTGAAATGGATCATAATATTACCAGGTGACACAGAGAAACACTAAGAATTGGTAAATGAAGTGTGACAACATAGTGCTTTTATTTCCCCCAGAAAGGTATTTATGTAGAGTAAGCACTCAAATCAATTTGACAAGTTGTTTTTAAGAGGCCACCTTGAGGCCAACCTCATTGCCATTAGAGCTTGAATATGAAATAAGTTCTGTGGTGGTAGTTTTTAAAACACGGAAAAGTCTATGTGAACTCCTAATACTTCAAATAGAGCTTCCCAGAGTAGTGGGAGTCTTGAAGATCAATTGTTTAGAGCAGAAATAGTTGAAAGAAAAACTTCTGTGCATGCCTAATGGGGAAAGGAGAGTTTGAAGGACTATTAACAAAGTTTAATGACTACTTTTCTAAATTCATGATCAGATTAGTTCATTTGGACAGATAGATGGTAAATACCCACTGAGTGTCTACATTTGCACCCAAGTCTATTTGATCAAGTTCCTCTTTCTTCAGGACTTAAATTTTCCTTTACTTTGTCTTGTGCCAAAACCTGGCACAGAGCCTGGTCCTTTCAGTAAATCCCCTTTTACTCCAATGGCTCTTCCCTGAGAGCTGAGTGTTACCCAGACCTAGTGGAAGCCCTTTTGTTTATTCTACACAAACGACAGTAAATGAAAAAGTATGTGAAAGCACGTAGTAAAGCACTGACAATTTATCTTTACAACGTAATTTTTACATTAAAAATTTTGGTCCACTGGAATTTATCTTGGTATAAGAAGTGAAATATGGATCCAAGTTTATTTTTTCGACGGCTGCCCAGTTGTTCCAGTACCATTTATTAAACAATCCATCTTTCCCTACTGATTTGTCACCTTGGCCGTACGCTACATTTTCATATACATATGGGTCTATTTCTGAACTTCCAGTTCTGTTCCATGGATCTAATCTGTCTGTCATGCATGAGCCAGTTCCATACTGTATTGATTATTGAGACTTTGTAGTATGTTTTTTTAAAAAAATCTGATACTATAGGCATAGTACCTGCTCATTAGTATCTTTTCCAGATTTTCCCTGAGGACAGATTTCTTCTCATATGGACTTAGAACTAGTTTACCTAGTTCAAAAACAATTGTTTTGGAGTTCTGTTGGGAATCTATGAAACTTGTGGATTATCTTAGGTAAAATAGACATTTTTACATCCCTGAGTCTAATTATTCAAGGACATGGTATGCCTTATTCAAGGTCTTCTGCATCACTCTGATAAATTTTCTTTATATGGGCTTTTATAAGTTTATTTCTTGGTGCTTTATCTTTTCCTCTAACTGGTTATTGCTATGGTCTCCCTGTTTTCACCCTTGCCCTCTACAACGTGTGTTCTCCACACAGCAGCCAAAGGGATCCTTCAGGATGATTATCCAGATCATTCTGACTGTCGCCGCTGCCTGGCATGCTCTTAGCCATCTGCTTGGCTTTCTCCTTCACCGTGGTCAAGTCTTGGCTCACATGCCATCTCCTTAGAGAAGCTTTCTGGGACCACCTTTTAAAAGAAGCCCCCATCCACTTCTATACTGTATTTTTTCTTATATAACTTATCACTAGCTGACATTATAATGTATATTTGTTTATTGTCGGTGTCCCTCCCTGGAAAGTAAGTCCTATGAGAGAGTGGACTCTGTTTCGCTCATTACAACATCTTCAGCACACAGAACATATCAATACGGCACACATCAGCTATTCAGGAAACATTAACAAAATAATAGGTGAAGCATCCAACCTAATGAGCTCCAGGGCTCGGATGGCAGAGCTGCAGATGATCAGCATTAGGACTGACTTCTTCTCTGTATGGTTTTTCCGAAGCTTTACCCACTTAGGGCAGACTGAAAAAAAATACCATGAGAGAAAACATTCTAAATTAGTGTTTAAGTAAAATAGAATATAATGAGCACTGTTTAGATTCTATTCTCTGGATATTGTAGGTATTGGATTAAAATGAAATATCATTAACTTACAACACAAAACATATATTATGCCAAAGTGACTAGTTTTAGGACTAAGTAAAAAAAGTTCAAAAGAATGCATTTGCGATACTTTTAATTTGTTTGATGCTTGAAGGCAATGTTGAGTAAAAAAAGAATTCTGATTCAATGATGTTAAATTTTAAAAGGACACTGAGCATAAAATGTAAAATAGAAATGACATTAAAATAATAGCAAACATCTGGTGAGCAGTGACACTGTGCTAGGCACTTTACTAAAATGTGTTCTCTTGTTTAGCTCTCATAGTCCAGTGAGCTTGATTACATTTACATTTGCTGAATTTGAGGGGGAGAAAGGTTTATGAACTCAAGCTGAGTGTCCTCAGAACTGAATAGAGTTTGAAAGAAGAATGATAAATCATCTACATCTAAATATTTCACTGTTGATTACAGATAAATGACTAGCTCATCTGAATAATCTAGTTATTACTGACCTCACACAATACATGTTGAGAAGATCAAATTAGATGGACTATGTAATACTCAGGGTCTGAGTTCTGAAGATGTGGACAGAACCTCAGAATCTCAGAGCTGGAACAGTGGTCACACAGTCCTCATCTTTAAGATAACAAAGTCAAGTCTCAGAGAGTGCTCAGTGACTTTCCTCAGGTCAAAGAGCAAATTAGTGAGGGGTCTGAACTAGAATGCTAACTATTCTCTAGGTTCCTACACCAATACTTCTCATGTGTTATAAAACAAAAATCAGACCAAATCCCAAATTCCCAAAGCCAGAGCAAAACAAGAATAAACTTAAATTTTAAAAAAGTTAATATGTAGAGGGACCTAAAACACCCTCCATTTAAAATCCATTTGAGGTGGAAACTTTTTATTTTAAATGTAGTTTTGAAATTTTTTATTTTGAAGAGACTGAACTTGTGTTTTAACGTAATAATAATTTGGTGAATAATTTTTTTAAAAATGAGAGTTTACTTACTTTCTTTTAGGTATGATGAAAGACTATGAGTCAAATCGTTGGCCTTGAGGAAACAGGAGTCTAGGATTATGAGAAACATGCTTTGTAGAGAATTCTGCAACTATTTCATAGTTGATTTCACATAATAAAAAACAGATTAAACCAGGCTGTATATCATTATCGAATTGGGGGCTCATCACATATTTCAAGTGTTGTCTAGGATATAAAACACTAGCAGCAGCAATAACAAGTAAACATTAACTGTTTATAGTTTCTTAGGGTAGGGAAGTACAAGCTTATTGTATTATTCAGTGGAATAATGAAACATCATTTTCAAATAACAGGCAATATACAAAGGCAAAGCTGAAACAAATCTATGTCGAGATGTTCCCAATATAACATTAAAACATACGGAATTGCTCAACCAATGACAATCATGGTCTAGCAATCATGTAGTATTGTTAACTCTGTAACTGAGATGAATAAAAAAGCCGGAGGTTTATTGTCCTAGTTATTATTATTTTTAATCCTCACCCAAGGAGATTTTTTTCCATTGATTTTTACAGAGAGAGTAGAAAAGATGGCGAGAGACACGGAGAGAGAGACATCGATGTGAGAGAGATACACACCGATTGGTTGCCTCCACTGCCTCCTGCACACACCCCAAAGCAAGTGCCCTTGACCGGAATTAAAACAGGGACCCGACACTCTATCCACTGAGCCAGACTGACTAGGGCTGTCCCACTTCTTTCTACAAGGAAAAGTCTGTCTATAAACACAGCAGAGTGCTAGGGAGCAAACTATTACTAAATTAAATGACATTTATATTGTGACCCGGAATTTATAACACATTATGTGAATAATGAACTTCAAAGATGTTGCCTCCTGTGCTGTTGTAGAACCTTCGATGGTCTTTCAAACTAATTTCCCAAGCCTGGATATGATCAGGCTCACCTGGAGAGCTTTGCAGAAGATACAGATTCCTGGGATGGACTTACTTTCTCATAGTGAGTCAGAATTCCCTGGGGGTGAGCCTGGGAATTTGCTTTTTAAGTTGCAGCTAGCCTTCAGGCTTTTAGCGCTGATCTAAACCACACTGCAGCTCTCAGGAGGACAGCGGGGTTAGCTCCAAGGGACTCCTGCCTCAAAACTAATTAAGTGCCCATGTGTCTGACATTAACAATGTACAGCACACCATGTTAATTGAAAAGACATGTTCCTGCCCTACAGACACAAACAACCTCAAATCAAAACCAAGTTACACACTTGGCAAACTAAATAGGAAAATATTTGATTATTTACAGCCACTTTATGTTTACACCCCTTCCTGAGCCTGCACCAAACAACGCATGGCATGTCCCTCCTCTCACCTAGCACACACTTCCTCTCTGTCCTTGGTCTCATCAGTGTAGTGACGGGCCTTTTCTCTAAACCCTTCCTATGATGTCTTCAATCACTGGGAATCAGAATGGCCTAATTTCTTAACTGAAAATGAAAACCTGCTCTTTTTGCCCATAATAGTATTTTTAACATATTTACAATTTTTTTCTTCCTCCCTAAACCAACACATGCCCACATATTCTTGCTTACCTATATTACTGAACTCTAATACAACACTAATATAATGTAAACTCACTACAGAACTCAAATGACTCCTTAAAGGCTTCTTCTGACCTTGGACTCTCTACTGTTCTAGCAAATTAAGGTTTTTGATGTTCTGTGAGGTTACAGGGTAGCAGTGGTCCCATTATCTCACTAGTCCTTCCAAAGTTGAAGGTATACTCTAACAAAAAATGAGAAAGGAAAAATGACCACTGAGCCACAGTAAAACCACACTTCCAGTTAGACCTTGAAAAGAGGCTTTGTTATAACACTTGCTTCCTGAGAACGGGCAGCCAGGACCCAGCTCTCCTCCAGAGGAACTGCTGTGCTGAGAAGAGTGCTGCTAACTGCTGTTGGAGCCAGGGGCCCAGTAAGTCAGAACTCCAGGTCTCGCTATGTGGACATGCACTCCTTCCATTCCCTAAAGGACACCCCTTTTGGAAAAGAAACACACAGGGCACTCAGGTCTCCAACCCAATGTGCATTTTATAAAAAAAGCTTATCACAGAGGAATTATAAAAATTCAGGGAACAGTCTGTTTTTCAGCTTCTCAAGCCTCTAGAAAGCATGCAGTTGTAATGGAAAAAGGAAGTCAAACAACTCTTGACTTTTTCCAAAAGCAGCATTAGATAGCCCTTGTGGTCTATAAATAGCTCACCTCAGGCATGGCACCCAAACTGTTTGCGTTTTGAGTTTATGACAACATCTCTTTTCTTCAATCTCTGCCCAGGAGTTATGGGATGTATCATAAATTTAAAATTAATGAAAATAGGTTGTTTTAAAAAATTCGCAATATATTTTAACTTAATTATAAATTCTCTAAGAGTAGATTTCAAACAACAGTAGGGTGAAGAGTCACCTGGGTGATGATGTGTCAGCCTTGCTAACAATGCAAAATTTTTTTTATTTTTTATTTTTTATTAGTTAAGGTATTACAAATGTGTCCTCATCCCCCCCATTAACCCCCAACCTCCCCCCCACACACACTCATGCTCCCATCCCCCTGTTGTCCATGTCCAACAATGCACAATTTTATCCCTATCTTTAGGTAGTTGGCTTAAAAAAGTTTGGGCCAGGACCCAACAACTATCCTAAAAACAAAACCATAATTAGAAATCCATGATAAGAGCAATAATAAAACTAAGCTGCTTATTAAAGCTAACATTCTTGTCTATAAAGGATGAATAAATTAGTGTTTCATGTCTATACTTTTAATTGTGTGGTTTATCTTTATTTAACTTTTATCTTCCTTAGGGATTGTTACTCTTTGAAGAATCTGGTCAGAAAAAAATAAAAAAAAAAGCACCCAGCTGGTGTGGCTCAGTGGTTGAGCCACAGACCTATGAACAGGAGGTCAGGGTTTGATTCCCAGTCAGGGCACATGCCAAGGTTGTGGGCTCAATAGCCAGTAGGGGGCATGCAGGAGGCAGTCATTCAATGATTGTCTCTCATTTATGTTTTTATCTCTCTCTCTCCCTTTCCTTTCCTCTCTGAAATCAATAAAAAAATTTTTTTAAGAAGCATACTCAACAACTAGCCTTTTGAAAAAAAATACAATTAAAATCTTACTATTAGAATACCATGTAGCATCTTAATAAAGAAATCATCCACAAATTAAAATTACGAGGTTGAGGAAAGGAGCATTAGTGTGAGGAAAATATATTAATGTCTGGCTGAGATACCTTGCCATAATATAAAGATGAATCTGTTTTGCTCCTCCTCATCAGGAAAATTGCTAGCAATTAACAATGGATCCTTCTGAATGACTAACCTCAGAATAGTAAGAAATTAAAAAAAAAAAAAAGGAAAAAACCAAAGAAGCCTGGCTGTACCTGGTAGCTTCAGTTCTTCTAATTCAATCACTGAGCGACTGCTGCTGTAATAGTCCTTCATCAGTTTCTGCAGGTCTTCAGGTGTCCCAGGTTTTGGCTCTGATTTTGCAAGAATGTCAGTAATTTTCTTCTAAGACGAGAAGAAAGAAAAATAAAAAAAGGAGGAAAGACTTTAGAATGGCATTTGGCTTATGATGGGTTGATTCCTCTGGCATTTAAACTGCACATAGGCTTTGATGATAGCCAAGTATGAATGTGAGTACTAATAAACATACTTGAGAAAACATAATAGAATTTCTTGGGCACTGCTGCTTTGAAAAACGAATGGAGGATCTAAAACAGTGGTTCTCAACCTGTGGGTCACGACCCCTTTGGCGGTCGAACAACCCTTTCACAGGGGTCGCCTAAGACCATCCTGCATATCAGATATTTACATTTCGATTCATAACAGTAGCAACATTACAGTTATGAAGTAGTAATGAAAATAATTTTATGGTTGGGTCACAACATGTGGAACTGTATTTAAAGGGCCAAAAGGTTGAGAACCACGGATAAAAGATTCCTTGTAACTCCTAGTTACAAAGACATCTAGGAGAAGTGACATTTTTACAGCAGTCTCTATAAGAGGATATAATTTTCTGTTAAAAGTCAAGAAATCTTGTTTCTGTGGAAGCTCTCCTTAAACTTGGGAGGGCAGAATTTTGAGAATTTCTTGCCTAACCTGGTTTTTCAGGCACTGACTCTCAGTTTGGATTTTGGGGATTAAGTAAAAGCTACAGGAGTAATGTGAGCATAGGACTTGCTGCAAAGGGGGACTTTTAGACCCTCAATTTTCAAGTCCTGAGAGATGCAGTCTTGAAGTGGTCCTATGGAAAGCCGAACAGGAAATACTGTACAACACCTATTTTGATTTGGACCTATTTGTGTAGCATTTACCGAATGCCTGCAATGTACTAGGAACATACAATTGTTCCTTCAATTTTCATCATAAACTTCCCTTCTCATTTCCTTCTAATGTTTCACCAAAGATCTAGAAAGAGCTGTTCCTCACAACCTCCCAGCCCCCAGGTTTTTCCCCTCCTTCCACAATGTCCTCATTTCTATACCACTGCTGAGAATGGTCAAAGTTCTGTCAAGTGAATTAACTTTAAAAATATGTCATCGGTGGGCACATTTTAGCATGACCTCAGCCAAGGCTAAACTACCTAGCCAGAGTTCTGACCTTGAGCCCCCAACAACTTAACACTCCTGAAGGCCATTAGTACACAAACTATCAAAGAGAAGTTAACGTTACTTCTTTAAGGACTTGCCAGACCTCAGCCAATTTGGCATCTCCTGTCTTCCTATTTGGCCATTTGCAAGCAAAGAAAACATATGCACACACACACTACAGTTTTCTAAAAGCTTGCTGTTAAGTAATTGGTTTGAGTCCATCTTCTCTCCTCTAATCCCAATCATATTTCCTCTGCTGACTTCAGCAAGACCCTTCTTGGCAGGGAGAGAATTACACTCCTGTTTTCACAACTGTGGTGGAAGGTCAAAGCTAACCACACTTTCTCCAAGTCTGAGCCATAAGGAAGTTTGTATAGGAGCAAGAGTCTTCCATATGCTCACATGCAAGTATTAAAATGCAAGGGGTGCCTTTTGCTTTAAATTATGGCTCCAAATGAGAGGTAGAAATGCCTTATACTGCTACCTTCATCTGTTTATTTTCTTTTCATTAATTCTCTATGATAAAAGGTTTTAAAAATTGAGATGGGTAAGAAAAAAAGATTGGTAAACTTTCATTGGACAGAGCTGGAGGGGCCATAGGGCAGGAGAACTCTGGGCCCCTTCTAGAATTAGAAACCCATGTCTGACTTCTAACCACAGTGAAAACACAGGGTGGGTAAGAAAGATGTTTAGTGTTTCACAAAACTGAAATAGGAATCAGGAGGATTTATTTTTAGCTCCAACAGAAACACTTATTACAAGTGACCTAAGGAAGTCACCAAACCCCACTGAATCTTACAATTTCTGCATCTCTAAAGATGAGATGGTAATAATTGCCTCATCAAAGCACACTATACAAAAAGGTGATGTAACCCACGTAGGGCCACACCATTGTAAGGAATTAATATTACCTTTCTCCTCTTCCTGGTCTTGGTGGCATCTTCCTTTGTTTCCTTTGGTTGTACCAAGAAACATTCCATAGGCTATAAAAAATACAAATGAGAAAACTTTCCTCTTAGCATGATGAAGCATCAACTAATGGTACCAATCCCAAAGAACCTACAGCCATAAATATATTCTTCAGAGCATCTTGGTAATATTCCACAGATAGACAGATGCAGGAAGACCCACTGTAGGCTATTAGGCAGACTGGAAAATCTTTGAGCAAAGGTCAGAATATGTGAGTGCACATGTGTGCTTGGGGAGGTGGTGCAGGACCTTAAAGATTAAAGACAGTAGCCAGGTTTGTATAATACAGGCAGAAATAGATGTGATGAAAATGTAGATGTAATAAGAATGTCTGACGGGTGAGACTTGTGTTTTCCATGAACTAGCAATGGGTGAACCTGTGTTTCCAAGTCACTAGTTTATTACTTTACTATTTTGTTACACCCTCCTTTTCTCAATAAGCGTAGAAAATCTGAAATAGGATATATTTACTTATATTTTTATAATACCTGGAACAAACATCTCACCTATCTATAGTGACTACTAAATGAATGTTTCTGTTGATGGACTGAGAAGTCTTGGCATCAGGCAACTTGAGTAACTAATTTTGCCTGTTGCCTTGACCCCTGAATACCCTATAGAGTTTAGTGCTATTTTTACCCTGCCTTTTTTTTTTAAATGTAGAAAAACAGGAAATTTGGACTATGTCTTTGATTTATAAAACAGAATGCCTCAGATTCCATATTTATTAATCATAAGCACAAATATAAAATGTTTCCTGTGCTGGGTCTTTTATGCAACATTTTCAAAAAAGTTACCAAGTAAGATATAAAATGTAAGTGAAAACTTACTCGGAGTTTTTCCTTGATTAAGTTTCCATTCCAACTAGAGCGTACTCAATTTAAACTAGTAAGCTACTAACTAAAGCAATCTTGTCTCCACTGGCTCTGTTTAAAATGATTACAGATGAAGCTTTCTATTACAGTTTACAGACAGTCTGCAGATTAAGAATGCCTATGGCCTGAAGCCAGAGAGAGAGAGAGAGAAAGATATAATGCTACATAATTTCTTCAAGACAAGGAGCCAGGACCAGCAGTTTCTAGACACTGTTTCAGTTAGTAGAGAAGTAGATACAAAGGGCTCAAGATTAAAGTAACATGGAATCTTGAAATTTTAGCTTCTTCTCAGTTAAAACAAAAAACCTACAAAGAACAATTGCATCATAGCTAAAGAATAAAAAAGATATTATGACCTCTCTTATTTAGAAAGTTAAGCTGTCTTGTGGTTGCAGATACATGCCAATTAGAAACTGGGCCAAGGCCACTAATGTGTCACAGAAGCTGCCAGATGGTCATAAGAGTCCAATTACACACCAGGCCAAGATTCAGCTCAAGCTCCTAAGGCAAAGGCCCAGATATGATTAGCAGATCGCTTAAGGCATTCTGCAGTATTTTGTCACCAGTATCAAGGTTTTGGGGAAGAAGATGTAGAAACCTGTTCCATTTTCTTATTTAGCAAATGAGGGTGCTCTTTAAGAATATATTCAATGTGCTGGGTTGTATTTATGCTAGGTTTACAAAGCCAATCAGCTCAACATGACACAAATCTGGAAATGAGCTCAGTTATAAGCATATAGACTCTGGAAAAAAAATGTAAGTCTGAATCATGCATTGGAAAAAAGAAACATGTTTTATGAATTGCTTTAGTCAAGATACAGAATCAGTTTTACATGTTAGGTTCAAATTCTTAGATCATTCTAAAGAAGATGCAGTGTATTTGTTTTCTGGGAGCAGTCACCTTAGCTGGTTGAGGTAGGGTACAAACAAAGAAGCCAAGTTTATTGGGTCAATTTCCAGAGTGGTGAGATGGCTTTATGAGGAAATACAAATCCCTAGTATTGAAAATTCCTAAACTTAGCTGTCTTATGAATGCTGACGCTTACCCTCAGACTAGGTAAGAAGATGTGGAAGACTTAGGCCAGGCTAAACTAACCATTTCTGGAAACCAATTCGAACAGTATATATGTCTTTGATAGTTGATAAGTAACACCATTATATGACTTTATAAGAAATATAATGATTTTAAATATGTAGCAAAAGATGTAGTTTAAATATGTATTTAGAAGAATCACACGTCCCAAAAATATATGAAAGAGTTAAAGCTTTTAAGTGAAGTAATTGGGTGCATATAATTAATTCTTTAAAGTGCAAAACTTATATTCTTTAATAATAATTCTTCTGGTTAAACATAGCAAAACAATGGCAAAATGCCAATATACTGAAAATAAAGAAAAGTGAAAAGGTACAAACCTATAAGAACCAAGAAACAAAGAGAGAGGTTAACAGTAGTGGAGAGATTTCAACAACTTTTTGGAAAATAGAAAGTGATTAAAACTGCATGGAAGTGATTTAGCAGAGAGAGAAAGCTGGCACCTGGGTTTCTGGAGAGGTGGAAGCTAATAACAAGTGAGTCTGTTGGACCTGTTGGCCTCTGAAAAGGTTTAGGAGGTGGAGGTAGAAGGTACTATAGAGAATGAAGGGTTTAAAAGAAAGAGATTGTTTGAAAGTTTATGTTTAGAAAGATTAGCCTCCCTCACACCCTCCATTGAGCTGTATCTCCTGCCCAGGCAGGCAAGCAACCCTCTTATTACTGCTTCCTCTCATCTGCTTTTCCTGGCAACAGACGGGAGTTTTATTATCTGGAGAGGACCAGAGGACCAAGAAGCCTGACACAGAGGAGACAGGACAGAGGTGGAGGCTCACTTCCTTTTCCTGTCCCTCTTTCAGGATGTTTCAAGCCAGGCTTATATATTACCAGCAGGAAACCACTAAATTCTTCTCTGGAAAAATGAAATGGCCTAAGAGAAATGCCACAAAAAGTGACATTTGGGGGTACCATATTAAAAATCTAGTTTGTCATCCTACCCCTACCATGAAGTCCACTAATCAACAAGCCTTACTATGTAGAAAAATTTCCTAGCAACTGTTTAATGTATCTCTCTTTACTATGAATAGACAGCTAAAGTTCACCAGACAACTAAGTACAGTCTCCAACATAAGAGCAAATAACAACAAAAAGAGGATCCTGAGGAAAGAGGTATATTTCTTGAAAATAATTACAATTAATATTCTCAGACAGATAAGGGAAGAATTTGCATCCATGAAAAAAAGATGCCATAAAAAGATAATCAGAAAACATTTGAACATTAAAACAAATTAAAGAGTTGAAATAAGAATGAAGGAGGAAGGCTTAAAGATAAATCTCCCAGAAAGAATTTAAAAGTGGTAAGAAAATTAGAGAATCAGGTCAAGAGATTCAACATTCCAGTAAAAGGAATTGCAGAAAAAGGGGTCATATAAAATATGAAGATGGAGTGATGAAAAACTGCCCAGAACTGAAGGAAACTTTCTAGGACATGAAACTCAACATTGAAATATCATTAGGTACAGAGTACAACAAATAAGGAAAATAGTCACCCCAAAGAGCATCACTGTGAAACTGGAGAACAATTATGGACAACTAAAAGATTCTAAAAAATTTCAAAGTGAAAAACAATAACATTCAAAATAAAGGGCCAGAAAAAAGAATGGCTTCAAATCTTGAATAGCATTACTGGATGCTAGAACTCACTGGAACAGTGCCTTCAAAATTATGAGGAAAACATATTTAAAAACTAGATTTTTATACCCATCCAAACTATCAATAAAGAGTAAATTAAGGTCTTAATAAATTTACTTTCTACCTACAGATACTGAAGGTGTACCCCAGCAAAATAAAGGTTTAATAAACCACGACCAAGGAAGATATGGAATTCAGCAAAGAGGGAGACTAATCCAGAAAAGTGTTGAAGGGGCAGTAAAGAAAAGTCTCAATTGTTCAACAGGCCTAGAGAATAGCCAATTCAGAGTGGAATAGGAGCATGGAGGTCTGCAGAAAAGAAGAATAACTGATCTCTTTGAGCATATGAAAAATATTATTCATGAGCATGTGGAAGAGATGTTGGAACATATAAAAATAATTAAAAATAAGAACACAGCAAGCTAGACAAAGGGAGAAGTGCAGTAATTTTATTGATGTCATGAAAATAAAGACTTGTATAAGAAAGGAGGAATGATTACAGCTTCTCTTTTTCTCAGGATTGAACAGTATTTCCATGGTCATAATAATGAAATAATGACACCCATTTTATATCACAATATGATATTGTGTTGGCAGGGGATGTGGCAATTGGAGGAGAAAAAGGAGAGTTATGTTCTCATATGCTACCTTGAGAAGTTAACATATCATATCAGAAATAGATAAATCAAGAAACAGCAGTAAAAACTGTAAGGTAGCAAATAAGAAAAACAACTAAAAGTTGAGGATGACTGCCTCTGAGGAAAAAGTTAGGGTAACAGTAGGAAAAGGGATTGCTGTTTTTTCATTCAAAATTTTAATAGCGTTTGAATATTACAGTGGGGCCTTGACTTACGAGTGTCCCGACTAATGAGTTTTTTGAGATATGAGCCGTCTCTCGGCCGATTTTTTGCTTTGAGTTGCGAGCTAAAATTCAGGTTACGAGCCAGCTTCAGATACCCCACTGCTAGTTGGTGCAGCGAACGTCACAGCGAACCACAACATCAGCCCAGCATCACGTGTCTCACTAGTTCACTTTTTGATTTGACATACAAGTAATTTGAGTTACGAGCTCCGTCACAGAACGAATTAAACTCGTAAGTCAAGGCCTCACTGTACTTTGTTAAAAAATTTTTAATTGCCATTTTATAACAAAAATGAGAATGTTCATTATAAAAAGAAAAACAATTTAGAAGTGGCTTTTAGTTTCTTTTGGGTTTAGTCAGAAGTTATTCAATATACACCATTAAAATATATTAAAAATTAAAAGATTAATAAACCCAAATGCTGATATAAAGCAACTAAAAGTCTCATATATGGGATGGTGGGAATGCAAATATGTTACAATCATTTTGGGGAAAAGCAGTTTTTATAAACCTAAACATAACTCAGCAATTCCATTCCTGGTATTTACTCAAGA